ACCAGTTTAAATTGCAAATGATAGAGTTTCCAATTTATTAGAAATATAAACTTCTCACAAGTGTACATTTATGAAAAAAGTTCAGAAATTTGTATGACCTTCTTCAACGGCTTTGAGCGTATCAAATCTTTTTCTCATTGAGTCAGTCCATAAAAATTTTTTGTTTCGAATACATCTCAAGGTTTTTTCTTCAAAAATATACAAATGACATGTATATAGATTTAGTTTTTGATGAAAATTACGAATATACTATTATGTTTTGCGAAAATATGTATATTATGAAGAATGAAAATCGTGACGTACGAGTGCATTTTGGCATTTCATTCAAGACATTTCAATAATTTCATAGGCAATAATTGATCTAATTACACTCCTAAATCCAGTTTTTGATAAGTATTAATTTGGTATAAAATACTTTGTGATATCATCTATACTTTAAGTTCTAGAGGAAGATGTAAGGGTGTGGGTATGAGTCCTATCTGCATTCACTCACAACTACACGCATACCCAAATTAGACATTGATTAGCGGTTTTCTAGGGTACCCATTACTTGAATCGAGTGAATAAGGTGTCTATTCGATTGAGCTCATTAAGATCTATCTGAAGAGTTAAGTTTCCTTGTTGACGAGCATTCCTAGCCGAATCGCGACATATTTTTCGGAGTTTTTGATATATATTTTTATTTTGGAGAAGTGAGATGTGGACCTGATAGAGTTTATCAAGTTTTACTTGGAGAGAGCTAGGTGTCTCAGTTGAAGAGCACTTTATTGCGAATCCATTCAGAAAAATGTTGAATCCTGACGTCGGTATATTCTATTTTGAATAATATTGTTTAATATAAAGGATTCAATAAGCTTTCTTTTTCATAAAAAATAAATGAGAACTTGTTAAAAGTTCTCTCTCGGAATAATTAAAATTTAGTATTTTTTGTCTAAATAAAATGACCTATAAATAACTAAACGATAAATACACCTAATATTACTAGTCGGCTTTAATCAATCGGGCTGTTGTTTTTTCTCAGTATTAGAATACTTTTCGAACTTTTTATTCACAAAGAAAATCGGCAATGGATACGTTTTTGAATTGACACTATTAATCTCAATAAAGAAATACACAAATGGCCGAAAGTATCTCAAGTGTTCTACACATTAGATGATATCAACAGTATGATATGATCTTTAACTTCTTACCATTCATTGGATGCATCATTGTTTTGCTCGACAAGTAGTACATCATATTGATACAGAATAATATTGTAATTGAATGTATATTCAAAATAATTCGTATATAGAATATCAGATTGATTGAGGAAATTCTATAGTTTAGGACGTTCAAATAATGAATTAAGTTGAAGTGATATATCGATGGAATGACCAATGTCACGGAAATTCATTCTAGTCGAATAATATTTTCTTGATTTATGGCGTTGGTCATAGTGAATATAGAGCTGTTCTTGATAAATTAAATAGATGCCAGTATATTCATTCTTATCCTAGGAATATAATATGAGCTATTTGACGCTTATCTACATTCGGTTGTTAACACTGATCATAGTATTTCGTCTGATTTTATAGACGACTACACGTGGGCATTGATTTGCGAAGCATTGTTAAAAGAAAAAGACTCATTTAATCAGTCAACTTTAATCTTACGTGAGCGTTATCTTTTAACAAATAGAGTTTTTCATCATATGTTTCTACACAAAAAGGAACCTTGCAACTAAAGTTGTCTTCTAAGTTAGGTGAGAAAATTGGAAATCAATTTTTATTTCGAATACAAATAAGTGTAATAAGATTATGTCGAACAGTGTGATTAGATGTTACAGTATTCAGTAATATTTGTCGATTCTTCCGTCACAATTCAGGATACGATAAGAGTATAATGAATGGATAAAGCAATTGAACGATAAATGGCATCAAATAGATGTAGTTCACTTGTTGTTCGACAAGAAAATACGATAACCAAAATACATGGATTACTAACACCATGTTTAACGGCATCCATAAAATGAGATAGAGAAGTGTTATCGATAATAATTGTAATGTCATCTTTCGATCACGTTACCATTTGTATACCTGTAATTTCATGGAACGTTTTTGCAAGAGAACTCGTATGAAGATTGATAAAGATGCAATTGGTATAATTACAAATGGTAATCCAACATTGACAATTGCTTCGATAGCAGGAAGTGCTACATCCTTATAATAACATGGCCAAGGACAGAAACGTCGAGAATAATCGTATGTACCTTGACAGGGATAGAAAGCAATAGCTCCGATATAGAAAAACAATGAATAGAGTGGAATCAAAATCATCGGAACATAATGGAAAATGAGTTGTTTTACTGGTGAATTAATGAGATATCTATGAAAAATAAGAATATTTCGTTCGATAGAAGCAAAAGCCATGATTAACAAATTACCCTAGTGGAAGTACTCACCTAGAGAGTACTCAAAAAGTACTCACGCTGGAAAATGCCGCGAGTACTCATGAGTACTCGGGACTTTTGAGTACTCGTCAGTCGTACTCATGATGAGTTTCGAGTATATGAGTACTACACATCCTTACTTTCATGGCAGTGTATTCTGGTTGAGTACTACGATCGGTCATTTCTTATACTTGGTAGCCACTAGACTATTTAAAGTCCGTGTTTGTTGCCCTTTGAGGGCTTCGTAGACTCTGGATAAGTCCGCTTCTCTGCAACGCCACAGTCACAGAAGGAAATTATCTTGTTAAAATTATGAACTTATCGTCCATAGAAAGTCAGCGCACGATATCTTCTTCGTCCTTACACATTTCATTTTATATATTGAGTCTTTTCAGAAAAAAAGACCACGTGTACTACAATGAGTACTCAGGGTCTTGGCTATGAGTAGATGTGTAGTGGAAGATTCGTCTGAGTACGTATGTGAGTACTCGGTCATTTTACATACTCATGAATTTTTGAGAGTACTCGCTCGAGTTATCTGAGTACTCATGCTGGCAAGTCGTACTCTCTGGATGAGTACATTCACTAGGGATACTAACATTGATACTATAAAATGAAATATTAGTATAGTAACAGAATAAATCCGATGGTGGCCAAGTGTATGAACGACGCCAATAATCTTCAAGAATTCTCAAAACATTCATATTGAAGATAAGACTTATTACTAGCAAAAGAAGAATAGTATGATTGGACAATGATTGACGCAAATGTGAATGGAGTATTAAGTGATAGATGAGAAAGATTGCACAGAGACACGAAGGTACCTGAACAATAATAAAGATCATCAATTTGAGCCACTGCTCATTTTCCTAATGTGAACATATAATTAGAGCATGATGAATTCGATGATTGGAAAAAATCATATTTGTTCTTTTTTAATTCTTAATAAACGAGAAATGCTAAACATTTGAAATGTTGCAGATCAGAAAAAAATGAATTAGTATTATTATGTTCTGCGTAGTTGTTCTGTTTTTCATCAAATAAATTATTTTGATGATTATCTGCACAAACTAACGAGGATGGATTTCTTATTACTTCTTACCGTGAAAACTCATCATTTTTTTCATCATCAAATTTCTATTGAAAATATATTATCGCTCACAGGGAATAAAAGCATTTTTTCGAGTATCACTATGTTTTGATTGACTCGATTATGTCTTCGAAATAGAGAGAATATAATGACAAATTTTTGCCACTCACAGAAATACCAAAGATGATGGAAATATATGCTTCTTAGATAGATTCATTTTCATTTATTGTTTTTGTTTTTCTGAAAGTGACATATTATATCAAGGCTTCTCAAATTAAACAATAGTATTTGTTTTTCATAAGTTTCTATAGAAGACAAAAAAAAACACACACAAAGCATCGCTCATGAAATATGTGTTGCACGAAATAGTTATTGATATAATAGTCGATCAAAGAGCATCATATTGCCATAACAAAAAAAAAAAATGAGATTCAAAAGTTAAAATGCAAACTATTTTTCAACACTTCAATTGATACATTATAAACATCACTATTCAATACTTTGAATGAATTACAAATATTCAAAAACAATCAAATCGCAAACATTTATTAATCATCATTGTCAAGTCAAATGTCATGTTTGGTTTATTCAGCTTTTGGTAAATAGTTATATTTAATATTATCATCAGTTTCAAGATGATTCGATTGGAATTTTTGGGGGTGTGGGTGTGCTAAAATATCATCATAATTAATATATCCCGAAAAAATAAGTCTCGGTAACCCCTCATGAATGTGGGTATTTGAAAAGACAAAAAATGCACCCAGATCCAGACCTATATCCACACCCCACACGCTCTCTTCATCCACAGCCATACTCACCCTTTTTCTGTTCTCTCCGTCGCTGTCCTGTCGTATTCACTTCATCGAGTCGTTTCTATATTCGTATTATCCTTACTACTGGTGTTATCTAAAATCACTAGTAGAATGTTTCTGCATTTTTAGATCAAATTATCCGTTCAATGTTTTATTCGCTCACATTTCACATACTCTACCGAGCAATATTGAATTTGTGAAACATCTGCAAAAAAAACCAATATGTAGATATTCAAATAGAACGGATATCTTATTCACTATCGTTGGTGGCCTTCTGCTGTTGACGGCCAGCTTCGATTTCCTGAATACAAAGAGTATGATCATAATAAAACTGCTCTTCCTATTATTTTTAAAAGGATTAATATGCAAGCAACATCGAGTTAGTTATTTTCAATAATGCGATCATAAATGCCGAATTCTTTACTGAATTTCATTGATTCTTTTGCCTTTTGTAAACGTTTTTCGATAATACTCTCTATGTGTCTTTCAGTCGTGTAGTCATTGCTCCAACACCGCACGACTCGACGAATAATTGTTATATTTCGCAAATTATCTATAAAGAAAAGATGTTTGACATTTATTACAGAAATTTTTAAGCGAGAAAGAAATAACAAGTGAGAAACTACAGACAAAAAAGAATACAAGTTAGTGTAATTAGATTTTCAAAAGATTATATTTGTTGAATAATTGAAGATTTTCTAATTTCAATAAGTTTGGCTAATTTGAAGGCAAGTCTTACAATGATAATCTAAAAGGTAAAAGAAGCATAACATCAATAGATATGAATGAGATCAAATATTTACGTCAAAAATAAAATCAAAAATGTATATTAAGGCGCATAAGAAAGCGTTCGGTGACGTATAACTTATGCGGGCTTCACTCTGTCTATAAACATTTGAATTTCTAGCATGTGAAGCTGTCGCACCAATATGGAAGAAAACTATAATCATAATACCATCAATAACTAGTTCAAATATGATAAGCCAAGCAAACTAAAAGTACAAAAGGAAAATATCAATTTCAATTTCGAAAATTTTGATAAAACAGTATTAATCTAACATTTTGTTTGAACTATTTTCGCAGGCGCTTTTAAATATCAATGTGTATATAGAGGATATCAAAAAAAAAACACGGCAAAATTGTCTTTAGCATAATTCTATCAGCTTGAAATTTATTCATTTTGTCTATGTATTCGATCTCGAAAAAAAAACAAAAAGATAAATTTCATAGAGAGGTTTTTTCTTTATCAAGCATAATTCCGATTTTATTTTGCTTTATTTCAATATACATATAAATAATTTTTAAGAAACAAAAATATGAAAATATATTTACCTATTGTATTCTATTACGAATAAGATAAGCTTTTGAATAGAATCATTAAATTCATGAATAATCACTGCCATCTCAATGTAAGATATTTGAAGTACTTCAATTTTCTCTCTTATTCAATTTAAGCAGAATGTCAATTATTCAACAGAAAACATCAAATAACCTCAAGAAACTAAAATAATAAAACTTCAAACTAATCAGAAAAATGATTATGTTTTTTTTTTCATTCGCCTTATCAAGGTGTGATACTTCAAAGTAGTTCGCATGTGTCATAAAAACTCAATCGAAGACAAAAGTAATACATTGAACAGATATGTTTTTTGAAAGAAACAATACTTACTACTCGTAAACCAATTGTAGAGTAGCGATGAGCGACGTGAAATCCAAAGATACAGAAAATAATTGACATAAGATATTCAATAGTCTTTGGTACACGTCTAGGCGTAAGTAAACAAATATCATTGTTGCTTCCATAAAACGACACAATCGTAGCGAACACACCCAGACCCTAAAATATTAATATATAATATCGGCAACAAATAGATTCATCGAATAGAGATGAATCCATGCTAAAACAATTTTTAGTAGTGTGAGTATGGTTTCGCCATGATAGGATTTGATTTATTTAAAGTATTTTTCGATTAGCGTGAAACAAACTTATTTTTATGCTTGTTTTCGCACATCAAGATTACATTCCATTAATTCGAGTAAATCTCTTCTGTTATTACTCATTATCTTAAACCTTCGCTTGAGAATGCTTAATCTTAGATTTGGACAGGTTTTTTTTCTAACAAAATAATAAGTGCGTTTTTTGCTTTCGAAAATTCGAACTAAAATTTCTTGAAAAAATACTGTTCAACAATGCTTCAATTTGTATCTTAAAATATTATAATAACACATATTAAACTGATTCATTTGCCTATTTCTATAAAAATCTAGTTTTTTTAAAATTCATATAGATTTAAAAAGACAATAATATTTTCTCACTGATTATTGTCCAATCATAATCAAAATAAAAACAAAAACTCACAATCAAAACGCCAAGTATGACCGAAAAAGTTCTACGAGTTCGTTGTATTTGATGATCTTTAAGCAATGCGAGTTTTATGGGAACAGCTATATTAGGAACATCCACCGTAACCATCTTTTCGTTTGTTTGACCGCCTTGCATTTTAATGATGAACAATTTGATCTCTAGAATAAATGCAGAAGTATGTAGAGACAAAGATAGTAATAATGAGACAAAAGTTAAACGAAATTCTCAATTTTTTTGTCCCTACTACCATCACTTTTTTAAATATATATCTTAACAAAACCGAAAGTGACAGCAATTCGAAGTGTGAGCAAAAAACCTTGTTTATTTCTTGTGAGATAGTTCAAGGAGATGACCGAATTCGATAAGAATACATATTCAAAAGTACAAAGTTTTTCCTAATAGTGATAATTATCTCCGGTATTCTTCATAGAGTTAAAAAAAAAAAAAAACTTCTAATGCACTTGATAGTTTCACATTCAAAATATAAAAGAATTTTTTATTATTCCAGAGAAACTGATAATCAAATTTTTCGAAAAAAAAAAGCTTGTGACAAAATGTAATATTGAAGATTTATTTTGAATATTGAGCTACACTATCCAATATAATTTTTAATATAATATGCTAAATGTGAAATTGAAATTATCATTGTCAAATTCTCTGAATAGGAACTCATTTTTAATGTTTTTTTCATAATATTGAGAAGATCGATGTTCTCAAGTATAAAAAGTAAAACTAAAAAATGCGGAAACTTCGGATTTAAATCCGAGAGTTATGTGTACTTCAAAAAGTGAATGAGACAGATGAGTCGTTCTAGAACGTGTGGACATCAAAATTATACTGGAGAACCTACCCTCTAAACTGTTGATTTCTATTGAGTATTGCCAAACCAATAGGACTTGGGACCGAATACAGCTCAAATTTGAACTCTTCCCCTCGATTTACCCTAAGAAAGTCGTTTTTCCTATAACTTGATTTCTATTGGTCACTGCTCAACCAATAGTATTTCGATGGAAGTGGAATACAGATTCGAGTTCTCCATCTCAGAAAACCTCGAAGTATCATCACTGTGATCGGAAGATAGAGCTCTATTTATGGATCAATTAGATCGTGGACAAAAATATAACCTAGTTCTCTTTAATTATCTTTGTGATAGATGAGCCAACCTTCTTGTTTCTTTATGTTTTATATACCATTTTGTAGCTCGTGAAATTCTCTATCGGATGGTATATAATTGTTGGGGTTTTAGTTGACTATGATAGGAAAAGTCTTTTACGAAAGTGGGGATGGGTCGATCTTTCCATAGGGAAGGTGCAGGGAAAAATGAGTATTTTTGCAATAACTCAGGAAGGGCTCGGCCAATCCTTCTCATCTTCGAACTCGACCGAGATATTGTTAAGACTGAACTGTGTAGAAAATTTCATCGCGATCGAACTCTCCTTTCGAAAGTTATCGTGTTAACGGCCGGACGGCCGGCCGGCCGGACACACTGACCGATTCTAGAGTGTACTCACTTTTTGAGTACACAAAAATACTGAATAATTATCACAACTAAGAAAAGGTTTGTACTACTGAATATATATTCTTGTCAAATCTCGATCATCTCTTTCAACTATCATCTCAAATGGAATAAATGAAAAAGATTTTCTTCTGAATTTCATATTACTAACGACTTATCCGGAAACCTAAAAATATAGTACTTTTGACATGAGATTTATGACAAACGTAAAAAAAAAAAGGTAACTTAACGTTCATTACTTTAGTTTAGAATCGTGTTCTTCTTTTAAATAAGAATGAATACTCGATAAAATGACCGATGACCTTTTTCTTTCCTTTCTATGTTCAATGTCTATTGACAAAATATATGAATTTCAACGAATAGGAAAGCAGTAAATGATCACTATAATCATGTAGAAAGGAAATGAACGTATACACTCATCTAGGAAAAAGTGAAATGAAGTCATCTGAAATAATATATTAATTTTCTCTACATCTAAACAATAAATCTAAAGAATAATAAAGTAGATTGGTTGAATTCTGATTCCGATTTTTTTGATAATAGATGTCTGTATATGTATCTGTGTTTATAATAAACTATATGAATTGAAATGAACACAGTCAACTCGATAACAATTATATGCATTTTCAAAGAAAATAAAATCATTGATAAGAGCAGCTTGAGAGTGGATATGGATGCGGGTACACTTCTCTTCTTCGACAACACACCCACACTCCTTAAATGCGTAAGCTGATAGATACAGTACTCTTTGGAATTTTTCATACAGTGTTATTGATAGCATGTATGATCAACTTTCTTCAATGACTGGTATCTTCTTAAATTTTAATCATTAGACGAAGAAAACTTTATTAATCAGTTAAACCAATAAATAAATAAAGTAATTTTCTTTTCTTTTCTTCATATCTGAAGATTCTAACAATTTATGGCTTTACTTTCTACTATATAATATGTTGATATGTGCTAAAAACCTGTATCACAATATGACAAAAATTATAAGAATACAACTTATTTGAATTCATAAAATATGGACAAAAGAAAACAAAATTATGTTCTTTTTATTGATTAATTTTGTCTTTTATTACGAAACAATAGTAGTGACAAGGTGTGGGTGTGAATCTTCTACTCGTTTACACTCATACCTACACTTTCAATTGATAATTTAAGGTCGATTCTACTTCGAAATTACGATGAATAGGTTATTCAATACTAGCTTTATAATTAAATGGCTACGTTATCACCTATTTTATTTTATACCACCCATCAAGCTCAATTAGATACAATTCATACAAAAATATCCAGCAGTGAGAAAAATTAATTTGTTCTCAATTTATTTATTAAACCAATTACAACTAAAAATAGTCTAGTTTGAGCCACGCAATATTTTTAAATTCATACTTGAGCCAAAGAAAAATGCAGATACAAATACATTATTTGTCCGTGCTAGATTTTAGCCTTTCCGTTCAGAAAAAAATGTTACTCGAGTGAATCATACATGAGCTGTTGTGATCTTTACGTCTTTCTTCAACTTGTATAACGTGAATTGGACCTATCATCACAGCACCTATGAAGTCTGCCTTTGAGATCATTGATGTTTAGGTTCTTGAAATTTTCTACTGATTCGTATTTATAAACAAAACATAAATTCAAAAGTTCATGAGCAGTAAGAGTTGTTGCTATCGAAATTGACACAATCATTCTAAAAATATTTGTCTATAATAAGAGTGTGGCTGTGGGTATATTATTTGATCTACATCCACACCCACCCATACCCCGCCCACACACACCCACACCCCACCCACACCCACACTCCACCCACACTCACACCCACACATCCACACCCCATACCCACACTCACACCTCATACCCACACCCACATCCCATACCCTAAGTGTCTTTAATTCTTTCATATAAACTAAACTACATATTCTTTGTATTGTCCTTCTTTATTGTGAAATACTCTTGAAAATAAAATATGACTCAATAAATAGAAACCGCGCAGATCATTTTGTGCCATTGCGTTAACATAATAAATGCAAGTGTGCAAAAAACTTACTCTTTCTGATTAAAATTTAGGATTTTTAAGAGAAGAACCATGAGATCACCGACCCAGGTGGCATACAAAAAATTTTTTATTTTGAAATGAATCATACCGTTTGAAAGTCCCTGAAAAGTTATGCTCAAATGCAAATTCTTAGCTCTGTCTGAAAATTCTATCAAGAGATATGAAGGGCTCTTTGAAATCACCTCTCAGATACTATTTTATAAATCTGCAGAAATTTTGATGAATTGTCGAGAATTCTTTCTAACATATTATAACCAAGTATAATACTATGGAAGATACCAGAGCTCCGCGGGACGTATCCCGCCCAGTCCCGCGCTTTTTTCGTACGTCCACACACTATACTGTAGCATCACACTCATCTCTTTTTTTAATGTTTACCGAATGTCTATCATTTACCCTAAATCTGGCACCCAGAATGCATCCCTAAATCGGATCCACATTTGTGGATAATAAAACGAAAATTAATCCAGATTAGGGATTTTGATTTAGGGATTTTCTAATTTAGGGATTTTCTCTCAATTGATGACGGACTTCACTCTTTCATAACGAACTGGTGACCAATTCTTTTTTAAAATATGTGAAACTGGTCACCAGTTCTTTAGCAAAAATTAAAATCAACAAAATATCTACTATTATTAATCTTGGCTTATCAAATATATTTTTCGACAGAATAACTGACTATTGAAGGTAGTTTTAACACAATTATGGCTCGTACAACAGGTACTTATTGTAAGTTAAGTGACAATCATCAACTGCCCTAATATATGTATCATAAACTGTGCGCGTATAAATTTACTATCAAGCTTAGAAATTCTTTCTACATTCAACATTCGTCAAAACAATATTAATGCTATTTTCTGCATAACCTTTTTTTTTACATATCAAACCAATAAAATTCGAATTCTTTCACAGTCTTTAATAACATCATAATATTATCATCAGCTCAACATGTGTTACAAATAAAAAACGCAATAA